CTCTGTGTGTGTGTGTGTGTGTGTTATGCATATATATATATATATACTTGTATGTGTATGCATACATATATCTGTTCTTAGTAATTTGTTTGTAATTTTATAAATGCATACCAGAAATGTAGCCATTCACTCATCGATACCAGATCGGACACATACTTGATCATATCTAACAGTAATTAATAGCATACGTCTATAAATACCTTTTTAGGTGTTGATAGACATGTGTGGAAAATAATACAGTATCAGCTCCCTGGACTGATCCATTCACTCATCGATACCAGATCGGACACATACTTGATCATATCTAACAGTAATTAATAGCATACGTCTATAAATACCTTTTTAGGTGTTGGTAGACATGTGTGGAAAAAATACAATATCAGCTCCCTGGACTGATAATTGTGTACGAAAACGTACTTGGTGTGCGTTTGTTGACATAACACGCATGTGGTGTATGTGCACCATTCTGTGATTCATATACATGATTCGTGCAAAGGGTAATCATCATACAACGATATATAGAAGTATATATGTGGTATAATGTGTAGCTGAAGTTGTGCCAACACACTTAGGCGAGAGTGAAGTATATATCTAGCCTACGCAATTCACAAGCACGCACGTGGTTGTCTAACAGTATAACACTTGCACACACAGTCTGGTGACGATGAACTGGTACTACCTGTGTGCAGACACCATCCCCTTCAGTCACCACTTCTCAAAATCAGAGTACACTGTTTTTCTTGTGGTAAGCTCGACTATATTCTGCACATATTTCATGAAACCATATACATATCACAGGACACTGGGCCAGCGAACGGTGTCACAATAAAGGCACCCAAGAACTCTACCTGAGCAGCCTGCGATCCGCTCAGTAAACCGAGGATGCTCCAAAACAGTATCAACAGTACAGATGGCCTGAGACAAACACCGAGTGCCCCGATTGAACGCATCTTGTTTCGTTGTCGTGCACAACCGCACTATATGTTATAGAATATAGATAAGTAGAGCAATGCTGGATATTCGCTTGATATGTAAGACAGGGAATCACATCTGCTGCGTGTACTAGTATGACTTAATGTGGGCCACTGAATGTTCTGGTGATATAGAGATGCAACACTCACTGTCTGAGATTCATGTAGCTATATACAAGAGTTCACTTACATATCGTTATACATTATGTAGAGTTTACACATGTATGTAAGGCTACTTTTTTGTGTGTACATACTACACAAAAATGGAAGATTGGAAGGATAAGCGGCTCTTTTTCTTTTTATTTGTCTGAAATTCCTCTTTATATTTTTTACAGCCACAATCCAATGAAAGATGTTATAAATTCAAAAGAAAATTAAAAAGAGTGACAGAGCAACTTGAGATCGCCAATTGAGTACATTTTATTTTTGGATATTTTTTAGCGGGCTGGCGGCGTATTACTCCTCATCAACTTTTTTATATTTTGCGAATATGTATTGCTCTACAGTACATTGTATAATAATACTGTAGCTAGTAGTATGAACTATAACGATCCACATACGTCTATATACAAGCGTGCAATTTCAGCTGTTGACTTTGTTGACGTTAATCGCAGCCACATCGCCTTGTTCCATCGAGTTTTCATACAAATGCCGATCAGATACAACATAAGTAAAACCTACACGCTTTAAGTGGTGAGACGTACTTTGGAAACAAGTGAGCGGCTTAGCAGACACCACAGTGAACAGAAACTCGACGTACAGCGCTTACTAGCATATACATATATAAAGCACATAGAGCATAACCACATGTTATACTATCACCTAAATACACGCTTTGGGATTCAATACGTTACAATTGGCTCAGATACTACTTCAGTTAGACTCCACGTAATATGAATGTAGGCCGTACTACACCAGACCACAGTTCTCCCGCAATACCCGACCGCAAATATGTCTGCAGCTATGGATGCTGAGATTGTGTATGTATAAGTAATTTATTCTCTTTGGTGTTTGGAATAAGCAATGTGATTTTTGCAAACATGTATGGTATATACAGATATATAGATAGATATATAGAAAGATAGCTATATACCCATATTTATATATATATATATATATATATGTATGTATGTATGTATGTATGTATGTATGTTTGTATGTATATGTATATATGTATGTGTGATATTATATATATATATATATATATATATATATATATATATATATATATATATATATATATATATATAGTGTGT